TCCTGGACCCGATATACGAACGATTCGAGGCTATTTCTGGCTTCTTCGCGAGCTCGGCGTTGACGATCCGCATCGTCCATGGCGCGTAACCTGATGATTCACGTTTATCATAAGTTCGTTCCTATTGGCGGAAGGAAATTTTTCATAAAACATATGATCTTAAATTATACCTCCTGATGGAATTTTCTTTCTCTTCGGTTCCAAGCGGCTTGATACCAGCATTTTCGATTTCGAGATTTAACGTAATGGTTTCAATTTTCTTCGTTTGTTTTTGTGACTCGGTCTCACTGATTTGAGTGTTATTAAGCTCATTGGGGTCCGACGCATTCACTGAACTCGTCGTCTCCTATGAAGAATTTAACGACATTTTGTTAGACGTAATAATTTCTCCATTTCGACGCGTAACATACCTCTTGAAACGGTACTTCTTTTATTGAGTCATCTGATTTGTTGCCATTGACACCAAAGAATGTCTTAACCTTATCTGGAAGAATGAAATATATTATATTAACCTCAGTGTATCGAATGCCGAGAAGGGTGATTCTAATTTCATACCTGTGAATGTTTGTTGCTCGATAGTCAAAACGGCGTCCTTAGAGGTTACAAAACCGGATTCGGATAATTGTAAGGTAACTTTGACCTTCGGCTTCTCTGAGCTTGTGTCCTCGAATCGTTTAATGGCATCTGCTAGTCCCGTAATTTTGGAGATAATAATGTCTTTTGGACCGAAATTTTTCTCAACATTTTCACTCAAATTTCCGTATTTTAATGTGAAATTAAAATCACTGGTGTGCTTGAAACTCATTAATTTACGAGATTCCACGGCTGAATACTCGTTAAAAAGAATAATGTTATAAAGTTTGCTCTTAATAGTGCCTAATGAACATAGAAAAAAAAAATGTAAATGATTATGCAACTCGACACGAAAATCACGTTTTCAAAAGATGCCATTATCACTTGCCATCTTCTGATTCTTTCGGTTCCGACACATAGCTGACTTCGATGGGATATGGCGTAATATCTTTGATCTTAATTTCTTTAACCTTGAATTGGTGACTCAAAGCTGCCCCCCTAAATGCAGCACCTGTTTATAATAAAGAA